ATTCATAGGGACCCTATAGGACAGAGTAGAATTGACTCATTGGGTTTCTAAGGCTATAATCTTCATGGAAGCAGATTGCCACATCTTTTCTCCTGCAGAGCAGCTGGTGGGTTTGAACTGCTACCCTTTCCATTAGCAGATGAGCACTTAACCACTGTTCCACCACAGCTCCTTGTAACGCTGACTGTACATGTAATATTCAAATGTACTTAATTTAATGAAGAATTGCATGGAATAATTTATGTATCTGGCATAACATGGAATGACTTGTTTCAAATAAGCAAAGTTTCAAGATGACTAATGTTCTGGAAATATTTATTAGTGAATTACATACTTTTCTGTTTTTTAAAATGGAATATGACTCAGAAATATCATTATGAGCACCAGTTTTTGAGTGGAGCTATATACTCAGTATCCTTAAGGACTATTTAGAGATGTAAGACTGTTTACCTCTCTATATGATTGCCCCCAGACTTCCATGAATTTTAAGTTCTCATTATTTACTCTTTTATACTTTTATAGTCTCTCCTTCACAGTCAAATTATACTACCATGACTTGGTATTGTCATTTTATCTCCTCTGAAAATAGTCGTCTTCCTTTTATATTCATCTTTTTTACTTGTTGTGGATTAATATATCAGGAATCATGTTTATTGGAAATGTGGAGATGATAAAAGTCAATGACACCAGCTCTTGGTCTGATTGCTGTTCCTATTAATAAACTACATCAGTGTCCATTGGAAATATACCTTTGGCTATTTAGGGGACTTTTTTCTTTGTTTGCAACTCTATTCTAGAAAAGTGAGGTGGTGGCATGCTCTCTCAGTTAATTAGGATACATGTCCAATTGCATATAACCAAGACCCAAAACAAAGTAACTTAGAAGTGTTCTTAAAGTGATAAAAATACATTCACCTGTCTTGTAAAAGTCCAAATGCATAGGAAGTGAGTTGTGCAGAATTCTGGCTCCTATCTTGATGCCTCTCTGTCCTAGCACATTATCATCATCTTCACAATCCACTGTGGTGACACTACATTCTCATTACAACCACACAGTCAGAAGAGAGAAAGGAAGATGGGAATAGCCCCCATTTCTTTTTTAAAAATTCAAAAATTATGCTAAAATATATATAATAAAAATGTCAGTTTTGACCATTTTAAGTGTATTATTCAGTGTCATTGATTACATTCATCATATTGTAACCATCACCAGTATCTATTTCCAAAACTTTTTCATCACTCCAAACAGAAAATTTGTACCCATTAAGCAATAGCTCTTCATTCCCACCTTCCCCAAGACTGATCAACTTCTGTCTTTTTGCTATTGCCTATCAAGCCATGGTATTTTCCATCACTTCCTATGCATGTGGAAGTCAGACAGTGAATGAGGAAGATTGAAGCAGAAGTAATGCCTTTGAATTGTGGTGTTGGTGAAGAATGCTGAAAATACCATAGACTAGTATAAGAACAAACAAAACTGTCCTGGAAGAAGTGCAGCCAGAATGCTCCTTAGAAGCAAGAATGGCCAGACTTCATCTCACCTACTTTAGTCATATTGTGAAGAAAGGACCAGTCCTTGGAGAAGCATACCTTGTTTGGTAAAGTAGAGGGTCAGTTCAAAAGGGGAAGACCCTAAATGAGATGGATTTACACAATGGCTGCAATGACGGGCTCAGGTATATCTAGGATGATAAGGATGGTGCAGGGCCAGGCAATATTTCGTTCTTTTGTGTACTTTGGGTCACTGTGAGTTGGAACCAACTTGACAGCACCTAACAATAATGACCTAGATATTTCATACAACTGGAATCATACAGTATCTGTCCTTTTGTGTCTGGCTTCTTTCTATTTAGCATGATATTTTCAAGGTTCATCTTTGTGATAGCATGTATCAGAACTTTATTTTTTTATGGCTGAATAATACTCCATTTTATAATTGTCCAATATATATTGTCCAATACCTACATCACATTTTGTTTATTCATTCATCTGTTGATGGACACTTGGGTTGTTTCTACCTTTTGACTATTGTGAATAAGGATGCAGTTTGAGTTATAAGGCATTGTTTGAGTTTCTGTTTTCAATTCCTTTAATATATATCTAGGAATGGAATTGCTGAGTCATGTGGTAATTGTGTGTTTAACTTTTTGAGGAAAGCCAAACAATTTTCCACAGATGTTGCATTATTTTACAGTCCCACCACTAATGCATGAGGGTTCCACTTTTTCCACATCTTCACCAACACTTGTTTTTTTCTTTATTATTATTATTATTATAGTCATTCTGGTAGCTTAGAAGTTGTATCACATTGTGATTTTGATTTGCATTTCTATGACTAATGATGTTAAGCATCTTTTCATGTGCTTATTGCCCATTCGTATATCTTATTTGGAAAAATATTTATTCAAAACCTTTGTCCTCTTTAAATTGTTTTTTTTTTGTCTTTTTGTTGATATGTTATAGGAGTTCTTTATGTATTCTGGATATTAAGCCTTTATCAGATATATTATTTGCAAGTATTTTCTTCCATTCTATACATGGTCTTTCCATTTTCTTGATAATATTATTTGATGCACCAAAGTTATTAATTGTGATGAAAATTTAACTGACTTTTCTTTTTTAGTTCATAGTTTTGTTATCATACCTAAGCATTCATTGCTAAATCCAAGGTCATAGGGATTTATCTCTATGTTTTTCTTATAATGTTGTTGCTAGGTGCTATTGAGTTGGCTTCAACTCATAGCGACCCCATGTACAACAGAACAAAACACTGCAACATCCTCACAGTCCTTGCTATGCTTGAGCCTCTTGTTGCAGCCACTGTGTCAATCCAGCACATTGAGGGTCTTCCCCTTTTTTGCTGACCCTCTACTTTACCAAGCATGATATCCTTCTCCAGTGAGAAAGATAATATATAATAGTTTTATGATTTCAGCTCATATTTGTAGTCTTTATCCATTTTTAATTAATATTTGTATATGGTGTGAAGTAGATGTCCAATGTCATTCCTTTGTGTGTGGCAGTCCAATTGTCCCAATACCATTTGTTAAAGAAAATATTCTTGCCCTATTGATTGGTTTTGGCACCCTTGTCTAAAATCAATTAGCTATAGATGTACGGGGTTATTTCTGGACTCTAAATTTTATGCCATTGGTCTATATGGTATCTTTATGCCAGTACCATACTATTTTAATTACTGCAAATTTGCAATAAGTTTTGAATATGAGAAGTGACTCTTTCAACTTTTTTTTTTTTTTCCCAAATTGTGATTTGGGTGAAAATTTACAGAGCAAATTAGTTTTTCATTCAACAATCCATACCCATTCCATTTTGTGATGTTTACTGCAATCCCCACAATGCAACAACATTCTTCCCACTTCCTCCCCATACCCATTCCTTCCCTTCATCCTTCCTTCTCATCCCCTTACTCCTTCCTTGCTAATAAATGAAAGGATATCATATATTCCTGGATAGCAACACTTAATATTGTTAGGATGTCAGTACTATCCAAAGAGATGAAAGAAATGACTGGGTAAATCCTCCCAGCTTGATCTTACATGCTTGATTGTTCTAATGAGCGCATACCCTCCTAGTATTATTGTTCACCTTATATAAGCCTGTCTGTCGACTGGCTGAAAGTTGAGCCATACGGGTTGGGTAGGTCTAACTGTTGCGTTGCATCTTTGACTTTCTTCATTCTTCTTTGCTCTGCATGGGGAGAGAACAGTTGCACCTTAGATGGCTACTCACAAGCTTTTAAGACCCTAGTTACTACTCAAGAAAGTAGGATTTAGAACATGGTATTTGTGGTCTATGTTATGCCAATTGACTTCATTGTCCACTGAGACTATGGTCCTGAACTCCTGTGTCCAGTGACTTATTCACTCAAGGTGTTTGGTTATGACTAAGAAGTTTTTATAACTTTGTCCCCTGTATGCTCTACTACATTCAGGGTATATTTGCAGCACATATAAATAGGTAGGTAGAGATAACCTCTGTCAAACCTATAATTTATTTGTGGGTGCATCCCACTCACCTTCCTACCTCTGTTCAGCTTGAGTGTCTGTGGTGGTTAAGTTTGTGTCAACTTGGCTAGACCTGGTTGAGTGGCTGGGCAGCCGGATGTAGTATTCCCTATGATGAGACTAGTAATCCATGGTGGAATCTACTGTGAGCAGCTGAGTAGCTGCCCTCAGGATGCAGTTTCCTTCCCACATATAAGTAGTAGCTTTGGGAATGGTCTGTAGCTTATGGCATGCTTGAAACCTGCATGTAGCCATGTCGTTGTTCAGCAGCCTGCCATGCTCTGCCAACGTTGGGACCTTCAATGGACTTGAGTTAATGGCTTGCTGTGTGGTTTGGTAACATCGGGACTGTTTACTTGTCAACCTTGGGCTTGGCAGCCTCAGCAGCCAGCAGCTGTCTGAGTGAAGAAAAGCCTCTAGCTTCAGTGGACCGAGAGCTGGAGGCAGAGCTGAAGTCCAAGGTTGAGTGGCTTTCACCCAACCCCTAGAGCTTGGTACTTTGAACTTGGACTTAAAGCCTCCAAATTGTAAGAATAAACTCCTGTTTGTTTAAGCCATCCCATTTGTGGTATATTCTTGTCAGAGTGGTGCTAGGTAACCGGAACAGAATATTCAACTTTGTTCTTCAAGATTGTTTTAGCTATTCAGGACTACTTGAAATTCTATATGAATTTTAGGATCAGCTTTTCCATTTCAGCAAAAAAGACTGTTGCAATTTGACAGAGATTACATTGAATCTGTACATCCCTTTGGATAGTATTGACATCCTAACAATATTAAGTGCTCTTATCCAGGAACATGGGATGTCTTTTATTTATTTAGATCTTTAACCCTTTCAGCACTGCTTTGTAGTTTTCAGTATATAAGTTTTTAACCTCTTCGGTTAAATTTTTTCTTAGATATTTTATTCCCTTAGATACTCTTATCCTTACTCTGGTAGCATAGTGCCTAAGGCATTTGACTGCTAACCAGAAGGCTGGAGGTTCAAACCCACCAGCCACTCCTTGGAAGGAACATTGGGCAATCTATTTCTGTAGTGATACCACCTTGGAAACCCAAGGAGGGGTCGCTATGAGTCAGGCTGTACTCTACGGCACATAACAACAACAACAACAACTTCCTTACAACTGGACAAATAAGTAACATCACAATGAATGGAGAAAAGATTGAAGTTGTCAAAAATTTCATTTTACTTGGAACCACAATCAACACTCATGAAAACAGCAATCAGGGTATCAGACATTGTATTGCACTGGGAAAATCTGCTGCAAAAGACCTCTCTAAAGTGTTAAAGAGCAAAGATGTCACTTTGAAGACTAAGTTGTGCCTAATCCAAGCTATGGTGTTTTCAGTTGCCTCATGTGCATTTGAAAGCTGGATAAAGAATAAAAAAGATTAAAGAAAAACTGATGCCTTTGAACTGTGGTGTTGGTGTGTTGTTATTTGCTGTCGAGTCAGACTTGACTCATAGTGACCCCTCCTTGGGTGTCCAAGGTGGTATCACTATAGAAGTAGATTGCCCAACCCTTCTTCCAAGGAGTGTCTGGTGGGTTTGAACCGCCAGCCTTCTGGTTAGCAGTCAAGTTCCTTAGACAGTACGCTAATACTGAAAATACAATGAACTGCCAGAAGAATGAACAAATATGTCATGGAAGAAGTGCAGCTGTAATGCTCCTTAGAAACAAGAATGGCTAAACTTTGTCTCACCTACTTTGGTCATGTTGTCAGAAGGGATCAGTGCTTGGAGAAGGATATCATGCTTAGTAAAGTGGAAGATCAGGGAAAAAGAGGAAGATCTTCAATAAAATGGATTGACACAGTGGCTGCAGTGATGGCCTCAGGCATAGCAAGGATTGTGAGGATGGCACAGGACTGGGCAGTGTTTCATTCTTTTGGACACAGGGTCTCTGGACCTGACTCCTCAGCACCTAGCATTAACAACAAACTATTATAAGTGGAATTGTTTTCTTAATTTTCTTTTTGGATTCTTCATTTACTGGTAAATAGAAATAGAATTGATTTTTACATGTTTATCTTACAATTTTACTGAATTGGTTAATTATCTCCAGTAACTTTCTTGTGGAATCTTTGGGATTTTCTATACATAGGATCATGTTATCTGTGTATAGGGATAGTTTTACTTTTTTAATTTCCAATTTGGATGCTTTTTATTTCTTTTTCTTTTGTAATTGCTCAGGCTAGAATTTCTAATACAATGTTGAATAGCTGTGGTATAATAATAATATTGTTGTCCATTTCATTTACGTTATCTTGTTTGTTGGTATACAATTGTTCATGTTCTTTTATAATCCTTTTTATTCTTTAGCTAAGATTTGGTAGTAATGTCTCCATATTTGTTTCTGAACTTCATTACTTGTGTCTTATTTGTTTTTTCTTTGTCATTATAGCTAAAAATTTGCCAATTTTGTTGATCTTTACATGGAAATAAATTTTGGATTTATTGATTCTCTCTGTAGTTTTTATTCTCTGTTTCATTTATCTTCACTCTAATCTTTATTATTTCCATCCTTTTGCTTGATTTGGGTTGAGCTTGCTTTTCTTTTTCTCATTACTCAAGGTGTACAGTTTAGTTATTGATTTGTATCTTTATTCTTATAGACTTCTACTGCTATACATTTCTATCAACACTGTCTTCAGTGAATCCCACATATTTTGGTACATTGTATTTTCATTGTCACTTTAAATATTTTCTAATTT